TAGTCAGTAGAACAACAAAACGCTTTTAAGACTTTAAAGGACAGCTTGAGCAATCCTCCAGCTCTGGGTCATCCAAACTGTGACCTGTCCTTTTGTCTGTGCATGAACAAGATGACACTACAGTAGGGGTACTCATGCAGAAGCATGAGGATCTCATCAGCCTTTAGGATCTTATAGTCAACAGTTGGATTGTGTAGCACAGGGAATGCCTCCTTGCCTGCCAGCAGTCCCCGCTACTGTCCTTTTAGTGAAAGCTACTGAAGACATTGTTGCAGGAACTCCCTAAATCATTTATGCTTCCCATGCAGTGGAAGCCTTACACACCTCACATCCTACGTGGCACCTGTCTGTCAGCGGGATAACTTTGTATGAGACAACTCTCCTTTTGGCAGTCCACATCACCCTAATGATATGCCAAACACTCCATCCAGTAACCTTGCTGCCCGCAGAATTCGGTGACCGCATATTGCTGACTGTCACTATTTTGCTTCCTAGGAAATATTTAAAAGAAACTCCAACACCTAAAGCTGATGTATCCTGGTATACTGATGGTTCTCACTTAAAAAACAAAAATGGAAACTATATTGCTGGTTATGAAATAACTAACTTATTTAAAAAGTCATCAAGACTGGCCACTTACCTTATACTACCTTGGCCCGACAAGCCGAACTGCATGCTTAAGCATAATTAAAGCATAATTTAAGCATAATTAAAATCTTGCAGACGTTCATCGGCGATGCTTTCTTCGAATGACCTGGATGAAAAGAGGAGAATGACAAGGAGAAAATTCTGAGGTGTTCTAAATTAAATTACAGTTGCCGAAGAGTGAAAGAGACAGAACTGTTAGTCTGTTTATAGCTGCTGACCAGCTCTGACAAGAGACTGCTCGCATTCCTGTTTTGCCTGTAGGGACTTTGGATTAATTTCCAGGTGGCTATTACCTCAGATTATTTCAGCCAGGCACCATCTAACTCCAGGAGCCTCCACTGGTGGGTTTCCTGGGCTGCCGCCCGCAGCCAATCTACAGGAGTGGACATTCGTTTATGGGACTCTGTGTCTATCCCAGGGCTGGCCTTGCCTCACCTTCTCCCAGCCCTTGTCTATAGCTCATGTAAATTCCTTCAGACATCTCTTTCTTCCCTCTTCCCCCTCCCTGATATATAAAAATGCTTGGAAAACTCTGGGGCAGTGAATATGCTGTCTTTTCTACCTAACCATGCTGCTGGTGGTTTAGAATCCATGCTCTGATCTTCCTGGCTAGCATTTTTGGCTCAGCAAAATCTAACTCACAAAATGACTTTCAGCTGTGGGAGTTAATTTTTTTTTTTTTTTAATTTAACAGAGCACATTAAAAATCCCCTTAGAGAAATGAAGAGAGCCTCTCATAGGTCCACATGGCAGCTTTGAAATGAGGACACCTGATTTGTGGAGTTATAGGCCCAGGAAATTTCTTCCTTTAATGAGAAGACTGTTTTGGTTGCCATTCTGTATAATAAGCCATATCTTTTAACAACATTAAATGAATGTGTTTCCTTTGCCTGCGTCTTTTGCTGACAGTCCATCAAGCACTGATACCCTTGGGAAAACCATACAAAATAGCCCCTCACTGGTGTGATTATTGGAGAGAAGTATTACTACCTCCACCTCCTCTTTTAAAAAAAACTCCCAGTAATTTTTGAAGTTTTCAAAAGTGAGGCTCAAGTGATTTCATGAATGAGTCTGTCTGCTCCCATCACTGGAGGACATCTTCCCTATTTGTCTATGTATGTCCATGCACACTGCCTGCAAAACCACAGTGAGACACCTCACCCCTGCCAGCGCTCATCTAAGATCTCCAATGAGTGTGCCAAAGGTGGGGACTCTAGATGGCCCCCAAACTTTCAATTAGAATGGTAAAGAAAGTCTAATTCTGATAATTCTGTGGTTTGTTTGCAAGGCACATACAATATGATAGTGACTTTAAGCAGCTTGGAGATAGTCCAGCAAATTTTCAGAGATCCAGACTCTTTCTGTTTACTTATTCTGCCATCTAAAAAATTAATAGAAAGAAATGAGAAAAAGGCCTACATAGAAAATTTACAAATAAACCACCAATGATCACAAAACATTTTTAAAAAGTTTACTCTCACTCCTTAAGTCACGGAAATATAAATTAAAACACTGATATGCCATTTGTCATCTACCAAATTAAAAACAAAACTTATCATTTTATTCAGAATTTGTGAGAGTTTAGGAGAACGAACAACCTCTGAAATTGCTGGGAGACTGAATTTGGCACAGAGTTTGCATGGGAAAATTGTCTATATGTATTAAAATTTTTTAATGGGCCTTACCTTTCACCCTAGCAATTTCCTTTTTGAAACTTATATGATTATGTGCACCGACATAGCTACAAGGATCTTTTGAGAGTAATAGAAAGATTGGTTAAATTAATTCTGGTACATGACAAACAATTGAATACAATGCAGTCATTGAGTATAAAGTTGTAAAAAGTTATTGAATGACAAGGAACCATGTTTGCAATAGAGGAGTTTACAAATAATAGCTACCATTTATTGAGTGCTAATTAGTGATAATGACTCTGTTCAGTGCTTTACATGCATATTATCTCATTTATTTTCTATAACTAATTTGAGAGATTGTTTCTCCTGTTTACTAATAACTCCGCTAAAAGACTAAGCAACTAGTTCAAGTTCAAATCTTCAGGGTTTGGGAGAGCCAGGATTCAGACAAAGGCCCTTGGACTCCAGAGATGATGCCCTTCATCCCCGTGCTTTGTATATAAACCCACTTTTGTTTTTTTAAGAAAATATAGAGAAAAACTTAAAACAGATGGCATATGGCTTATGGGTTATAGGCGATTTTTATTTTCTTCTTGTTGATATATAATAAGAGAGAAAAAAGTTTAGTTAAATGGAAAAGAAAAAGTGCCAGATTGAGAACACATTTAGTGAGAGTTCCAATACCAGGCTCTATAAACACTGGGCAGTTACTCTTTTCAGGTAAAATAACAATGGTATCATGAGGTGGAGGGCAGCAGGCCCTGGTCAGAGAAAAGCTGAGTCACTTGTTTTTTCTTTTGACTTTTGACCTTGTATAAATTGTTCACCTTTGGACTAGGTGACTCATCTGTAAAATTAGCAAGGTTATCCTTAGGTTCCTCCCTCCATAATATTCTGTAATCTAAAATACCAAAACACTAAAAGAGAAAATAGGGCCCTTGAAAAATAATTAACGCAAAATAAAATACTAACTTATGAGTTAAAATGACTCATTTCTTTACAATACAATACATTTATGTAACAATGACTTTAATCTGAATTTGTCAAACAGAATATGACAGCAATGATCAGCTTGGGAAGTTATTAGGGTGACGTTAGGATCTAATATAGCTTTAGCTAGCAAATACATGAAAAAAATATCAATATGAAAAAAATCACAATCTAAAATATTTTAAAAATTAGACTAAAAACAAGTCAGAAAGTTTTTTGTTGTTTGTTTTAGTGGTTTTAGCTCTATTTTGGATGAGGATATTACTCTGTATTATCATGTGTCTTTATATGTACTTTTTACTGACTAAAAACAAATACTGACATTTTATCAATTTATTTTGTTTTTAACAAAATTCATTTTTCAATATAAAAATTGTATATCTGCATTATATCATATTAAATTAAGAAAATTATTCTAAAGTAGAAGAAAAAAAAAAAGAACCATAATGTTACTACCCAGAAAATGAACATTTTCTTGTATGCCATTCTATTTTCTATGTATAAAATTTTGGTTTGTTTTTATTTCACGTAATTGCAGAATGCTATATTCAACTTACTATTTTTTTAATGTCCTTTTATTCAATTCCATGGTGTTTTCTCCATTTTTATAAGTTCTCCTCTTGGAATTGCCTTCAGAGTTAGCTGGAAATTGTTTTATCTTTACTAATATCGATAAAGTTTTTTTTTTTTAGAAGGTGTTTTTCAATTTTGCCAACAATTATTAAGAGCCATCTCTCAAGAATTTTTCCCAACCTTAGCTTAAAATGACAAATGTATTTGCATAAGGGTCTTTAAATTGACTCAGAAGTTTAATGCATAGAAACAATTTCACCCCAGTGTTTGGGCTCATCCTAGACATATACTCTTAAGTCATTTAAAAGTATACAGCATGGTATTTTTAAAATTCTAAAAAAATTGTGCATAATCCATTTTCTCATTCAGGCCTCGTGGCTAAAACTTTCTTGCAATGGAGAGTTAACACTAATTCCTAGTGTTGCTTTTAATAGCTTAATGGATATTATTTTTGTTTGTAAAAGCAAACCAGAAACTAGATACAAGTACTAATTTCTGAAAGTGTATGCAACAGGTGAATTTTGGCACAGCCATACATGCTCATAAAGCCTGATAACAAACCCTTTTCCTGAATCTGTACAATTACTTTCCAACTTTTCCACGTGATCAGTGTCTTGCAAAGAAGTGTTTATTACAGGAGTGCAAAGAATACCTTTAAACTGTTCTCAGTTATATTTTCATTAAAAAATTTTGTTCTCCTCATCACTCCCTGCCCTCCCACACCCCCCGTAGATTTAGTTCCTGATTTTATTAGCTCTTGGCCTCAAAAATTTCTGGGAAGCTAATTTCTCGGAAGCTTATTCAACAGTGACCTCCTACTTGTCTAGGTGGGCAAGGTTTGAAACTGAAAAAAGTCTATGGCCACCCTGAACAAGCCAGATCCCATCTGATCTCAGAAGCTAAGCAGGGTGAGGCCTGGTTAGTACTTGGATGGGAGACTACCTAGGAAGACCAGGTGCTGTAGTGCTAAAAAATAAGGGATTATAAACTGACAAGGTCCTTACAGTCTGTGAGGTCAACCAAGGGTTGCTTCGCATAAAAAAATAAATTAAAAATAAAAGAAACTGAAAAAAGCCAAGGCCGTCAGCGTCCCCTGGTGCTTAGGGGCGCACGCTACCGGCAGTGACCCAACCCATCCAGGCCAGAGAAAGTATTGCTCAGCTGGGGAAGAGTCCTGGGATTACCAGGGCTAATCGCCAACTGTCCATTTCAGAAGAGCCTTGGAGAAAGGAGTTTGGAGTTGTCCTTGCGTGCTCCGGGATAGTCTCAGTTTTCCTGGCTAGCGGGTACGGAACTCGGTAACTACGCTACAGGGGACACGGTCCGTCCAGGCGTGTATCGCAGCCAGGCAGCCAGCGCCACGCCTTCCGCCCTGCAGAGGGCTCTGTCCCCAAGAGAGCCGGGCGTGAGGGAGGGGCCGCCGCCCCGCCTTCTCCCCGGCCGCCGCCAAAGGCGTGCGATGTGAAGCCTGCGTTCACTCTACTCAGCGTTCGCCTCCTCGCCGTCCGGCTCTCCTGGTTAACGTCTGCCACCCCTGACAGTGACCGTGACCACCACCGCGGACCGCGCCTTCCCAGGCTGTTCGCCGCGCGTGTGAGTGCTGGCCCTGTGGGGAGCGCGCGGGCGCGGTGGGGGACTGCCCGCGGGGCTGCGGGTGTCGGCGGGAAGGTCGCCTCGGGCCGGGCTTGGCCGCGCGCGCGCGCGGGCTCGGTCCTGAGACAGTGGTTACGGACCGAGTCCCGAGCGCGCTGGAGGGGAGAGGGAGTCCCGGGCGGTCAGGCAGACTGGGGAGATGCAGGAAGGAGGCAGTCTGGAAAGGAGCCAAGGAGGTTTTGGAAAAGCTTCACGGTTTAGAAAACACAGTACAAATGCTGGATGTCATCGTGAAGCAGGATCTGCTTCCTTAGGGTATGTTCGGAAGGTCTGGCGGACTCATCTCAGCGTTTACATAAACGATTGATAGTGCTCTGCCTCCGAGTGCACGGACCGTGACATCGGAGCCCTCGAACCTCTGAGTGAGTAAATGGTGACAGCCCTTTGGGATGTGTGTGGCTTGAAAGGTCGGTGAGTATCGGGTGTATATTTAGGAGAAAATAGAAAACTGTTCATTTGAGATGACTAGGTTTTAATTAGTCCCTACCAGTTTCATTTGAAAGTGAACGTAAAATACAAACTGAAAATTCAGACTGCTTTTTTTTTTTAGAAAACGATGCTTTGGTACAGCTGATTCCGTGTGTGGTAGTGTGTGTTAAGGGCCAGTTGGTAAAACTCTTGCCTTTCTCCAAACGTGTGAAACCAGGGCTGATATTGGATAGTTAAAAACTTATTGAGCATGGACATTACTATAAGGTGGGAGGAAAGTTTGTTAATGTTAGTACCTTAAAAGGGATTAACCAATACATTCGATCTTCTTATCTCCAGGACATAAGGTTTGTCCACAGCTTGGATAATTAGCTAAAGAGTTATTGAGCTCTCTTGTGTAATTTTTCTGTGGATAGTTTAATGATTAACGTCAGAATTAACCAGCTTCTTACAATACTGATTAAAAATAATACTGAAGACGTTAGAACAAAAGAGAAAAGTAGAAGGCCAAAAAAGTTAAACTGCAAAACTTACAGTTAAAGAAAATACCTGTAATGTTGCTTAGTTTTATTTTCTTGCCTAGTAATAGACATATAAAAGCTCATTCTACTTTCAGTAAAAAAGTAGATTCATAGTAACAAACGTTTATTGGTCATCTTTGTTCCAGGACTTGGGCATTCAGCAAAAGCTCTTTAGGAAACACATTCTTTTGCACCGAGGTGGTGTTAAAATACACTTACACCCCAAATCTATTTCTTATTTATTCTATTATTAATATCCATGAAGCAGTTGAGGCAAACATAAGCGTTAAAAACAGAAAATAAAATACAACTGATAGTTGAGTTACTGTGGGGGAGCAGGTTAGAAAGGGCATGGACTGACCATAGGTCCCTATGCAAATTGAATTGCATCTTGGAGGCCATCACTTACAATTCAATGCAGATAAAGGGGGAAAACATATCAGCTCCTTAGAGAAGTTTTCCTGGCATTTACTTCTGAGGGAAATGTCTTGTGTCACAGAAGGATATAGAGAAGACTGAACCAAGGCAGTGGGAAAGCATCCTGTGTACCCATCTGATAGTGGTGCATTTTCTAGGACTGCTTGTTGTAGTTGTACTTTTTCTTACTCTATTCATGAAAAATACTTTTTGCTTGCTAAGACCCTATAGTCACACATACTGTTGTTTAATGGCTTGGGGCTTCTTTAAGGGTAAATCTACATTTTCTAATGGGATAGGTGGACTTGATCTTCAAATGCTCTATTTCTCTGTCAAGAGATTTTCTTTTTTAAATTTGCATACTTCACTTTATTCATCCACGCAGCAGAATGCATGGCTTTGTATACATTTAACATCACAACATAACCAATTCAACCAGTCTGTCATTCTGGTGGGTCTGAGAAGGCAGAGGAGCCATTCACTCAGGTTTTCAGTTCTAGCATCCCTCCAATTACTGTCAAGAGATTTTAATAGAAGTTCGCCAACAGTTGAAGGTTATATCGAGTGGGGATGTTTATTCTGTGTTGCTTACTGGGATTATAGGTTAGGGTTGAGATCCTTTAGTAAAAATTAATGAACCTAAATGGCCATCCTCCCTATAGGTATAGGATATATAGGTTTACAAGAAGCTCAAGTGTATCCTTTAAAAAAATCAGTTTCCAATTTTCTCTAGAATGTGAATCAATAATTGATAAATTATCTAGATGACTTAGGCTTCATAGCTGTTTTTTTTTTAACAACAGTTTTAGGAGATATAATTCACAGATGATACAAATCACCTATTTAAAGTGTACAGTTTGTGTAACCTTCACGTTTTCACCGTCCTCCCCTTCAAAAACCCATTAGCAGTCCTTCCTCCATCTCATGATAGTGTCTTCACCCCATAGTTTTTTGAAGCAAATATTTTATTTCACTGGGAGACTGTTAGAAAGTGGATATCTAATTTTTGAGCCACATAGTTAGCTTATTTACAGAGATAAATAAATATTCTGAGAATTGTAGCAATGAAAGTTAGTAGTGTACTGGTTGTTTAAATTCAGGGTGGATAAGTGTAGGTAAAGCAAAATTGTTGCTGCCACCTTGATTTTGATGGAGAAGTTTTGTTTTTGGCAAAGAAGGGTAGAATAAAATCTTAACGGCCCAGAAACCCTGTTGAACAGGGTTTGTTGCACTTTTCTGATGTGGGGCAGAAGAAACTTTCATTTACCGTCAAGTTTCTTTTGGCAGGTCTAATAATCAAGTAGATATGAGACAGATTATCTGGAGAAAATAACCAAGTTTATACATTCATATGGATGAGAACCTTGCATACATGAGAGTCAGAGACATAACATGCAGGGGAGGTTCAGAGACCGAAATGGAACATGGGTATACAAGATATTCTGAGCTAGGGATGAGGTAAGGTGCCTTCGGGGCTTCAAAGACTCATTGCAGGGAGAGCAGATATTTAGTAAATAGAAGTTCGTCTTGCCCTATAGAAAGGTCAAAGAGGTAATCTCTGATAACCTTTTATCATGTATGGGCAAGGCCCCTAATTCAAGTTATTCTAGGTAGTCAACGGAGGGGCAGAAGTTCATGAGCCTGAGGTTGAAGTTGCCTTTAACTCAGAACATCCCCCATACTACAGAGACACATCTTGGGGTGACTTGTTCTGAACTCCAGCACTGATCACTAGCTCAAATGCTTTGGGCCAGTTCGTAGGCCCAGGTAGCATTCGGTAGCTCTCATATCACTGACAGTAAGTTCTTTGTTATCTGGAAGTATAA